CGCCAAGTTATTGAAGCGGCCTCCAGCTCTATATTTGTCCAGTTCCATTCTCAGCGCGCGCTGGATGCATGACGTGGCGCGCGCGTGAAATGACCAATAAAAAGTAAACGAGAATTCGCCAGAAATGGTAATTCCATCCCTACTATACTACTGTTGATGTTTATGTTGAGTGTAACTGTGAAAACCACTTCACTCAATGACACAAACGTACAAACGTATTCCCCAAATGTTGAATTACAACTTCTTGTCAGAGCACTTACCCTCACTGAAGATGGAAAACCTTTGCCATAGAAGCCGACCCTATAGTATTCAGATTCTGGCCGAACCTGTTTAATGATGTTGTCGAAGAACTTGGCTGAATAATCATATTCTGAAGTTTGAAACGTTTTAGACAAAACGTCGCCGAGATATTCGACTTTGAAAACCGCCTTTGTTTTCGCTTCCACAAACGGAAGCGTTCGGGTAAACTTCGGAAAATTGTCGGAAATGGGAAGCTCACCAGATATGACGTCTCATACACGCGCGAGTCCGCGAGAAGAGTGGGAATTGAAATTCTGCAGTTTCAAAACATCAACAAGTGTGGTGTTTTGTGCTGCTTTTAACTGTAGCAACTGTTCAAAAACGTCACTTGCTTAAAAAGTGAATTCACATTCCAATAAACTATTTCGCGATTATTCCAACACGTCCAGGAGCTGAATTCGCAGGGACAGAGTTCAAGTCCAGATAGAGAAAGGAAAATTCACCGTCGTGTGTTCACGTTCTCCATAATACCGTGAATTTGGTCATTTGACGTTGTTGTTTTGCAGAGGACGGCAAAGAAATGTGATAAAATGCAAAACGCACGTGCGGAGCAATTGTACTACTAATTAAATAAATTGTTTTGTGACGTTCTCGTTTCCGTCGCCGTCGTGGTTGTTTAAGGTCCCTAATCAGGCGTAAGCTTTTTTACATTACCTAACGACGAGAAGAGATGCAAGGAATGGATGAGATTAATTAATTTGTTGTATTTGAGCATTTTCAAAGGAGATGTCAAGGTCTTCATCCATTTTCGTCAATACCGGCTATGGAATAATCTCCGAACAAACCCAGAACACTTGACTCAAGCAAATTACAAGCTTCAAACACGCGCGAAAACACGAGCGAAAACACGCGTGAAAACAAGCTCCCACATATGACGTCACAAAAACAGTAAATTCGTTTCCATTCCAAGCGCGGTCATTTCTGGTTCGTTTTCGTTCAGCCGTCGGAAATTCTCGGAAATTGTCCAATTTTGTGCCTTTTAAGCGCCACAAACCAGCTTTTGAGGGTTGAGTATGATTGATGCCAGTATAAAGAACAGTTTTCGCGACAAAAGAAAACATAGGCACGCAATGCGTGCGAGAGCTATTTTTTGGAGTGGTAAAGAATGGTGTTATGGATCATGAAAAGATTGGATGGGAAACTGTAGATCATGTTGGTTGTTTTGAGTTGGCAGATTGGCTTTAGTATAGTGTATTTTAAGTTATCAAAAATCAAGCGATGTGGCTCAGTTGTTTTCCCGGCAAACAGTTTTGTGCAGGACAAGTTTGATTATATTCAATGGACCATCGAATGTTTCCAGTCAGAGAATATTCAAACGTTTTTTTATATTTTATTAATTTTACTTGGGTGGTTTAAGTTTTAAAATTGCGAATTGTAGTTAAAAAGGAAAATAACATTTGGTGTCGTCGATTAGAAAATAATGCAGTTCTTTATGTTAAAAGTGTAGCATGAAAGAAATAAAAAAGAGATTGGACTGCATTCACGTGGTGTTTTGAGATAAAGAATATTTTCCAAACATTTTGAAAAGTTACATTTGTTACCGACTTGTCAAACTCAAAGACTCGAAGGGTTGAATGTCAGAGCAGTCAGCTACCCATGCTCCCCAAGTCCGCGATCCAGGTGGAGAGGATCGCTGGCACACCGAAACACCCACAGCTGGAGACTGAGCCTACCCCACCCTGGGAGTGCAAATCCTCACCTCCAATAGTTGACTACTATAAAATAAAAACGGGTCTGTGAGGGGCAGTTGTTTTTACATCTTCCTTTAACTACCAGGCAAAGAAACAGTTGAAAACGAATGCGTGACAAGTGAACAGACCTGCGTTACACATGACAAGGGTCAACAAAAGTATTTTATTTACGTATTAAAACATTAACCATATGCATTTGTGTTGTGGTTCATCAAGAAATATTTGTGCCAGTACAATGTGTTGTTTTAAATAGTAAATTGTTCTCCTTATCATCGTATAATTAAAATCCTTCGTGAAGGTCTGCTTAAAACTTGATTGATGACCTTTTGACCCTGATGTTGTAATGCATTTATTGATCAAATACAAAATGCTAAAATGTAATGACAATTCACATAGCAGAACACCAAGAACTGCAAATCCTCACAGTACCTTGAAGGAAAACAATTTCTTGATTTCATTCCAAAGAAAAACATCATTTTTATTAAAATTTAGGCTCTTACATGTAATTTAATTAAATTTACTTGAAAACAAGTGTATCAAATTATATTCTGTTTTCGATATCCATATTTCTACTGCAGCAAATTTGCACCAAACTGGAAATAAATACCATGCATATATTGAAAATCCTTGTGATAAAATTGAAGAGAAAATATGTTATTTTATTCAACACGCAGATCTATATTTATCCAACTGATCTGAGAAACAAGAACTAATCCAATTATCACAAGGTTTGTACGAAAAACAAAAGTATCAGGTTACATCCTTTGCATGAAAAACAAAATTATCAGGTTACACACGATTAACAAGAGAATTTGCGTAAGCATATTTCAACTTTTCTCTTCAAAATATCTGCTCACGAATTTACCACGTTCCGTGAAAATTTCTGCACTCAACAGCAAAATCTATGCACCGCAATAGCGTGTGTTTAGCAAAAGGCATCAAATCCTCGAAGCGCGGAACCGAGGAAAATAAAGGCTTCTGGTAAAATCTCATGATGAACATAACAGTAACAATACAAAGGACACGACAGCTAAGAAGCTATTTTTCTAAAAAAAAATAGCTCAAAAATACCAAATTTCGTTGCATTTGACCTTTAAGCGGCCCTCTGTTAAGCGGTCACCCTCTATTAAGAAGTCACTTATCAAATTCCCGGAAATCGCTCCCCATACTTCCTGCAAAACAGGCGTATTTTGGGCGAGCGAGTGTTTATAAGTCGCCATCGTGGATTAGGAAAACATTGGAGGCTTGGGGCGCCCACCCTTAAACCCCGCCCCCTTCCTCGCCCTCTTTCACTCGCCCCAACACTCCACGTTTTGCGAATCCAAGATGGCGGCCAAACAAAACAATCGCAAGCGATCGCAAGCGATCGCAAGCCCACAAACCGCCTGCATTGCAGGCTGATTGTATTTCACCTCTATTAAACGGTCACTTGTAAAAAAGTTTGTTGGGTGGCGTCGCGCCGCACTGAAAATTAAATATTCAAATTTGGTACGAATATTGAAGGTCGAATTTTCGGCGCCCTTTTTCAAGTCATTCAAGTTTGGCGGGTTTGCACCCAAGGGAATGAGCAGGTGATTCCTGATTGGCTGCTTTCTGATTGGTTAACGTGTTTGTTTGTGTTGACCTTGGCTGAGTGACCAGGCCCACAGCTCTTAGAGTTGTACCGTTTTTCTTTAGAATTTTTTTTACTCGAGGAACTTATAAGCAGAAGGGAGTCCTTTATAAGGACGCCGAGCAAGGTGAGAACTAGTTTTTATTGTTCTTATATTCTAAGTAACAGTTGCTAAGCTTTTTCACTGTGAAACAAGTCTAATTGAAATGGCGCCTCAATGATATGCCGGTCACAATTAGATTCACGATCGTTTCAATTATGAATGCGGAAGAATAGCAACAAAACTACGATAGCGAACTTCAAATACAGTTTAAGTCATTAAGTTATTGAGTAAACTACGGCTTCTTCATTCTTCAGATTTTAGTAGCAGTTGTGTTTTGCCCCGGTCGCCGGACTAAACTCTCGGATACAATGCGGTTGTGCCAAAATGGCCCTGTATTGTGATCACAATATCAGCTTACGTACATTTAGTGTACATTCGTTGCAATTTGCGAATTTCTTCATAACCTTACTGAATAAGGGAAGTTTACGTAACTTTATAGATTGCGTGCCAGACTGCAACGTTGTAATTGGAACTGAAGCAAGCGAAAGGTGTGAATCTTGTTTCAGTTAGAAATGTAAACACGTGGACACATTCATCGCAGTGAGAAATATAAAATCGTTTTGATCACGCAAATTAACTTATTAAGTTAATCGCGAGTACACAATTTTACTCTGGTTTTAAATATTTACCGTTCTCATTTCTCCTTCATTTCCTTTGGTGACTGAAAATGAAATCAATATACAAAACACATTCCTTGTCAATATACAACAACTTGTGTATATGGTAACAATAAAATATGTAAGTTGATGTTTGATTTGATATATATTTGAATTTTTTTTATTTGTGTCCATAATCATCTGGGGGATGAGTAATTATGTTAAAACTGGGACAGTAAATTAAAGACTTGACCTCATATTTTTAACACAAACTGTATACATGTGTACATCTAGTACAGTGTAAGGCCAAACAACATAGCATACATACATTTAACAATATTATCCTGCAAAATTGTGCGGGTAGCTGATGAGGCCGTGGGCCGAGTTGGCTAAACATACAGACATCATGTTTATTAACCCTCGGATTTACAGAGTAGCTGAATAGCTAATATCTCTGAGCAACAGACGGACAACACAATCATATAGAATTACAGGCCTGACCACGACGCCGGGAACTTCATGCCCTACTCTTTTCAAACAGTGTTGTGGGTTCTTTAACGTCCCCTTCGAATTAACATGTAGGATGAAGGAGGCTAGGCCAACGGTTTAACGCACCTCCCATTGACGTGATAATCTGAACTGAGACAAGGTGTTGAACACAGCCAGCATGATCTTACCAGTTATTTTAAGACCCCGGTTGGTGGCTTGGCTGGGATTTGAACCAGTGACCTCCCGCTTTGCAGTCTGGCACCCAACCAACTGAGCTAACTGGGCGGCGGTTGAAATCAAAATTGAGCAGGATAATTGTTTATTATTCAACAGATATTGAGTGCATCATGACCATATTTGGATAGTGTTACAATTTGTTGAACAATAAAGTTTGTTATTGGTTCTATAGGCAAATTCATCATGACATCACTGTTTACATCTCAAATTTAGAAATTTGCCCGATTTAAAAATACGTGTAGATATTATGCAATTTCAGCATTTTCACATTCCACTACTCATTACTTGCATTTGTTTAGTTGTAATATGTATTGTCATAAATTATTTCATTATCTATTTATTCACTCCAGGCCCAATATCAGAATGTTCCTGAGAGCTGGTCTCAGTGTGGCCAGAAGATTCCATGGACAGTCCTTACTTGGTAAGTTGAATATCACTAATAACACCTGTAGATGTATAGATGCCAGGTGAAAATACTGGGTTTGATGTATTTGTCATGTTTTTCAGGAACCAAGAGTGTATTAGGTAGCTATGGAAGGACCACTTGTTCACCAAGGTGTACCACTTTCAAGGTAAAAGTACATTGTAAATATGTTAAGTGGCCAACTATTGATGAAAAATGTTGTTTAAAATGTAGTGATGAAAACCTTTGGAATTTGTGATAGTGGAAGTGTATTTTTTACAGCAAGGATCCCAGACGTGTGACCACTTTTAATTAATTCACATTCTTTGATGCATGCAGACAATCCAATCAGAAGATTGATTAAGCTACAACACTCTCCCCCAAAATGGCATTTTTATTATAAAAAAGCATGAACTCATTGAAAGAATAAACAATAACATTGATTCTGACCCCCCTCCCCGTTTCAATGTTGTTGTTTAACGGTTTGGATGTGATCCAGAAATTCAGACAATATTGATAAGGGGGGAGAAGACGAGGTATAATCGTTAAAATGTATAAAGTCAAGTGGCCCGGTTAATGAAGAGTGTCTCAACTCTTTTTGCAAATCATTGTAGCTAATCCTACACTGTAGGCTTCTGATTGGACAGTTTGCATGCACAAAATAATGTGAATATTTAACTAAAAGTGGTTACACTTTTGGATTCCTTTATGTTAAGACACACAAGAATATTCTTGAATTACATTTACTGTATTTATTCAATTAAATGCTGATCAATCCTGAACCTTCTTGTCTTTTTAGGATTGTCATTTCTACCCCAGGCTTCTGGCTGGAACTATAAGATTTTGTGCCAATGAGGCAAAAGGTAACATGCAGCCTACTGTATATGCAATGTAGTCTACTTGCTCAATGATGGTCTGGCTACCTTACATACGGCTTGTGCAGTTATCATTAAAACTGTAAACGTCACAGTTTGGCATCTCCACTTGTCAGGCTGTCAGTTATAACTGAACAGGCCCAAGACCAATAAAATTGGCTATAGTGAAGGTTTAGAGCTTAGCAAACTGGTGTAGTGCACACATTTCTGCGAAACATCTTTATCATACTTTGATCATGCACTAGATGTATATATATACATAATATACCTGTGAAGGACCTAAAGGAGCAAATCCTACAAGCCTGTCTAAGAAGGCACTAGACAAAAAATGCGGTCCATGCAACATGCTGGAAGCCAAGTGCCAAACTACAGTGTCCCAGAAGCATGGCAAACCAGCTCACATGAAGTGATCAAACTCTGATCAAAGTTACTAGATCAGTCCTTCTGGCTTATTTGAATCAAGCTACATTTGCAAGATAAGGTGTCTTGACCATCCTGGTACATTTTTCCTGCTGACATACATGCTATCTTTTATAGGACCCAGAGATCTATTAACTTTGACAAAATAAAATAATTTATTAGCAATTTAACCAGACCTGTCTTGAAGTCTTGAATATAAAAATACAATAATAATTGATTGTAAATTTTGAAACCTAGGGAGATGTGGTGGCCTAATGGTTAACTTGTTGGACTTCAGATTGACCAGTCTGTGTTTGAGTGCTGGCCTGGGTCATTATGTTGTGTTCTTGGGCAAGACACTTTTCAAGTCCTCTCTCCACCCAGGAGTATAAATGGGTACCAGTGACAAACTGCTTGGGGGTAACCTGCGATGGACTAGCACCCCATCCAGGGGAAGTAGTAAATACTCCTAATTGGCTTCATGTTACGGAAACCAGGATAAGCTTCAGCAGTGTGGGCTAGTTGTTGGGCGCGAGTGTAGCTTTACCTTTAGTTACCTAATAAGAGCCATTTTGCACTTTTAAAATCATTGTATCCATGATATTTTGTTTAACAGATAAGCCTGTTCCTGCAGAGTCAGTTACTGGTGTCCCATATGATCAGCTTACCATTGGTGTTCCAAAGGAGATTCATGAAGGGGAGAGAAGGGTTGCTCTGTCACCTGAAGCTGCCAAGCAGTTCACTAAACAAGGCTTTAAAGTAGTAGTAGAGGCAGGAGCTGGTGCAGGAGCCAAGTTTCTTGATGCTGACTACATTGCTGCTGGTGCTGAAGTCAAATCAGTGAAAGAGGCACTTAGTTCGGATATCGTTCTTAAGGTGAAAAAGTTTAGCACAAAGGACACTACATGTACAGTGTATGTATGTGATGTTCATACATACACTAGATTCAGAAATGAATATATATTTGTAGCCCAGGACCAGTACCTGTATTAAATCCAATAATTTTAATCTAAAGTTTGCACAACTTAATAAAGAGGGAAGGTGAAGGATGAATAAACTGGGTACATTTGAGCACTGCATGTTCATACTTGAATTATACCATTTTGCATACATGTATACACATGTGCAGTTACTTCAAAACACTGTGACTTGGAGTACTTGAACCACATCCCCTGAATGGGAGGCAGGCCCATTATATGTACAGTGGAACCTTGATATAACGATGTGCCAAGGGACTGACCAAATTAGATCGTTATATTGGGAGATCGTAATAACGAATTCCCGATATAACGATTTTTCGGGAAAAGAACCAAAAATATCGTTATATCGGGGTATTGTTAATAATTGATTTTTCATGTACTGTATAAATCCCTATGGTAACAAGCTGTTGACGGACACATTACAGTCCTTATGCAATGAGAACTAAATTATAAAGGAAAAGTATTGCCCGGGAGTATTGTCATATCTTTTCAAGTGTTAAGCCTCCTTTTTCATTGCGCGATGATTGATTTTATCGTTATATCGGGGTAAATTTTACGTTTGGGCTGCGAGATTGTGATCGTTATATCGGGAATATCGTTATATCGAGTATCGTTAAATCGGGAGTTTTTTCCATACATTTACTGTAACATTTGCCGGGCTGTCAAATGTTGATAATTATACTGGGAACATCGTTATATCGAGTATTGTTATATCGAGGTTCCACTGTAGTTGTCCTTAACATTAACTTTTGCCAGGTTTCTTCAATTACCATCACCCACTGATTTGCACACTGTATGAAGCAGAGAGATACTGACAGATTAAAGAGTCTTGCCCAAGGGTACAACACAAGAATCATGGACTAATCAAGGATTGAACTCTCAAACATCTGGATCTGATGCATAGAACATTTGGCCATCACTATTACTGATTCATAAAATTTTCGCGACATGTTAATTTCGTGAAGTTGGAGTGGCCACATTTAGCGACATTTTAATTTCACGATTTTACGGAAATTCTAAAATCTTAGTCACTTAATTTTGCAATTTCATCCAAGTGTTCGTATCGAATATTTGCTTATACAGTACATCGGTATATGTTGCAATAAAAGAATACAATCAACACGACCTACCATTTGAACTACTAACGATGTTCACAACTTGTTTGACAAAAGTCGCGACTGGTGCATGATGATTCAATGTTATAGCGTCATTTAATTCATAGCTAACATAACGCCACTTGTGACACTTATTTTTAATTTTGCTATTTTTAGAAAAAATTGTGAAATGCGCAAAATTAACATGTCGTGGAAATTTCTTGTACATGTTATAAGGTACTGTACATTGCAATGTTTAATGTAACATTTTTTAAATGGTCTCTTACAGGTGCGGCCACCTCAGAAAAACCAAGTTTCTGGTGTTCATGAAGCTGACCTTATGAAGGAAGGTGGCAAATTGATAAGTTTTCTCCACCCAGCCCAAAACAAAGATTTGCTAGATGTCTTAGCAAAAAGGAAAATAACTGCTTTTGGAGTTGATTGTATTCCAAGGATTAGCCGTGCTCAAACATTTGATGCTCTGAGCTCCATGGCCAACATCGCAGGCTACAAGGCAGTCATTGAGGCTGCAAACTTATTTGGAAGATTCTTCACTGGACAGATCACTGCCGCAGGAAAAGTTCCTCCAGCAAAGATTCTTGTAATAGGTGAACATGCATTAATGTACATGAAGCTATATTGTTTATTAGACGTACACAGATGTAATTTTACGATAATGGTACATATATATACCTGTACAATGAGAGGTCATGTCAGTGAGCTTTGAGGTGTGGCACAGGTTTTCCTGAAAGCCTCACTTTCATGTCTTCAAATTTGGCATCATACTTTAATTATAACATTGTCAGTGGTCAACACATGCTACTCAGAAAAAATCTGACTTCTCCCACCAGGCGTTGAACCCGAGTCCTTCTGCACACCGGTCAGACGCTCTACCACTGAGCTTAACAGGAGACTTGTGAGAGCTTAGGCTATACAACTATGTTCAAATGTGACAAACATGCCGCATACTGCCAGGGTCCGAAATTGCGACCAGCGACTAAAAATTGAGTGTTGGCGACCCGAATTTCAAGGCTAGTGTGTTCGATGTTTTGAACCGGCGTTCAAGAAATTAATTTGGGATAAAAATTTCACAGCTGGTTTCTAGCAAACAACTTACATTTTGTCTTGTCGAAGTTTTTAACGTACAGTGAACTTATTTAGGATAAAAATGAAGGTAAGATTCCTGTTAAATGACTTCCACAACAGTTGTAATCCGCGCACTGTATAATATACGATTACATATTATGTAATCGACATTTAGCGGCCGCCATGTTGTTTCAGCGGTTTCATCT